TGGTAATGGGTTTGTCTCTTTCACGAATGGACTAATTTTATTAGTTGTATAGAGATAGTGTTTTACAATTAATTATTCAATTTACCTAAAAATTATGTTAAGATTGAATATAGTTATAATAATTCTATGAAAAATAAATTAATTAACTAAACCTAAGCATGCATACAATTAATAACTAATCAATTTACCTTAAATTATGTTAAAATTGAACATAATTATATTAATTTTGTGAAAATTAATTATAATAGGGCTAACTAAGCCTAAGCCTCCATACAATTGAATAATTAATCAATTTACCTGTAAATTATATTAAGATTGGATATAATTATATTAATTCTATGAAAATTAATTAATTAAGCCTACACCTGCATCAATTGATTTACAATAAGAAATTTGGTAGAATATGTCAAAAGAATTAGGAAGTTACACTAATAATTTTGTAGAATATGGTAGAGCTATAGAATATTTGATTTTCACTCCCCCTCCAGCATTTGAAAATTAAACACCTTGATTTTGGCACTTGTGTCTAGATTGTATTCAAATCTAGAACTATACAATTTGGGTGACATTTAAATTTTAACATTGTGTATTGTGTTTGTGTATTTATTAAATATATTTTCACAATTAAAATAATTACAATAATTTAGATATTTTGTCCTAGAAAGTGGAAAGTTTTGATCCCTACAGGCAAAATCCCTCGTTCGGAGATTAAATCCCCACAAGGAATTTCCTCACGAAGCCCCGTTCATCAGGGCGAGCGGGGACTAGGTTGGGAGTGACTCCATCCCCATGGCCCGAGGACGGTCATGAAGTTGTCCTCGGCCCCTGATGGGCCGGGATCGTCATGGGAGTGAGAACAGGGTCCGTGGCTTCGACCCCGGGCCGCACCCTCCCTACATCTATTTTTGCAGTGCCCAAGTACTAACCAAACAAGACATGACCCACCAATTAATATCTTTTGGCCCACATTAGGCCCAACTTGTTCTCTCCCCTTGGTTTGTATAGCCCACCTTAAGTGGCCTGGATATCTAAATGGGCCCATTTCAATAACCAGAGGAAACGTAGAAAAAAACACCGGAAAACACACCGACTTCATCCAGAACTGGGAATAGTTATCCATACGTGTCACATCAAAACGCCCACAGCTACGCATCTTCACCCTCCACGTGTTTGTAGAAAACCATCAAACCCATAAATCTTTTATTCTTTTACTTTCCTTCACTGACCTAAAATAGAGAATTAAATAATCAAAGCAAGAACCGAACCTCTCGCAATTCGTAGGCTACAGAGGAAAGAAATGTTGAGACTCGCTTCGCAAGGCTTCTAGGGCTAGCGACGGGCGAGGCCCAGGCGGTGTCGCGGCCTGTCCAGCGCGCTGCCAAATTTTATCATGAAACGTGATTGATCACTACAACAATCCGCGGAACGTCGGTTCATTTGATAAGAACGATCCTACGGTCGGCACTGGCCTTGTCGGTGCACCGCGTGTGGCGATGTGATGAAGCTCCAGATAAAGTCTGACAAGACTGGTCAAATCGTCGACGCCTGTTTCAAGACTTTCGGGTGTGGTTCCGCGATTGCTTCGTCATCTGTTGGTATGTAATTTTAGGGTTTTGTTGTTTCGGTTGTCTGGTTTGATAATAAAAAATAAGGAATGTTATCGGAATTGTTTCTGGTTGTGTTTTATGATTTGTATATATAAGTTTGTTGTGTTTCCCTTCTAGTAGCTGGTTAATACGCTATTAAATATATGTATCGCATTCCTTTAGCGTTTAACTTTTATGTAATTAAAGATTCTTTTGCTTAGATTATTGATATTATGACTAGGGTAGCTTAGGTTTTACTTAATTTTCTGAAAGGATTTTTGGATGGTTTGAATTTAGTTTTTGGTTGTTAGAAGTTTTTTTTTTTTTTTTTTTTTTTAGCTCGTTGTCTTTTTCCATTCAGGTTGTTATAGAATTATACATGTATTGTTTGGTTGAATGACTGGCTTGCTTTTATAATTTGCTGAACATTGCTGTGTTTATCATATTTCAGCTACTGAATGGGTGAAAGGGAAGCCAATGCAGGAGGTCTTGTCTATTAAAAATACGTAAGTTCCTGTGTCTTTTATCTCGAAGTTAAATACGCTTATTTTATAATGTGGTTTAAATGAATTACTTTGCTCAAATAGCGTCCTATAGGTTTTGAGATTAATCTTCAAAATCTTTAAATATGTGATAATCTTAGCTCGTTCTAGTTGATCAGGATGAGCTCTGTTCATTTAGTTTTCTTAACTTAAATTCTGTGGCAAATTTGCTGCCATGATCACTTGTAGGTAATTCTTTTTTATTTGCCCTTCGTTGCTGGTTGTGTGTGTTCTGTATAGATATCATGTATGCCATTTGGCATTCCGGCCTCTTAGTGGGAAATCCATTATGGACATGGAAATGCTTGTTGGATGTACTATGGGTATTGATAGATTGAGAGTGAGACTGCCCTTTAAGTTCACTTCAACATAAAATCAATGAAATATCATTTATTTAATGCTCTAAAGACTTATCTCATCTGATGGGGCAAAGCTCTTTTCAGGGGCAGAAGGTCTTTGTTTTCCATGCCTGTAGTAATTTTTAGAGTTTACATTCATACGTTGACATTGATAAGATGGAACCCTGGAAAATGGTGGAAGTAATGAGGAAAATACAAACAAGTCTTCCTTAGATGTTTAAGGTGCTATTTTGCATATTTTTTCTGTCCAAGGTTTAGCACTTCAGTTTGAAATGGTATACTCATTTCTGGATGAGAGAAAGTAGTGATCTCCTGGATGGTCCATTATAACTCCCTTTTTTACTGATGATAAAATTTGTCTTGTTTTCTGGTTCTAAATATGGCCGTTAATGTTGGTTGTAGTATAGTGATCTAAATACTTGAGTGCCTCCGGAGAATTGGAAGGCATAGAAATTTTCAAGTTTCTCAACTCCATTAACTTTTTCTTTGTGTTGCAGGGAAATAGCAAAACATCTTTCTCTACCTCCGGTTAAGCTGCACTGCAGCATGCTGGCTGAAGATGCTATCAAGGCAGCTATAAAAGACTATGAAGCTAAACACACCAAACCCAGTGCCAGTCCAGAGGCATCGCAGGTTGAGAAGGCCGCCGATGCTTGAATTATGTCTATGTTGATGAAAATATCCTAAAACTCAATTTTAATTTTTTGCTTATCTAGTGGCTGTAATCTGAAGGTTCTCTTGTGGTTCTTATGCTGTTGGAATATTTTGGAACTTTGCTGCGAACCAAATATTATAGAATGGATGTTACAGCTTGGAAGACACCAGTCATAAATATTGTGGTCGTATGGCGATGGATGTCAGGCTATTGGTTAATAGCTAGAACTTTCTATGAATAAATGTGAAAGCGGCCTGTAAATCTGCATGTTGTGTATGAGTTGTGCTTGTGTAATTGACTCTGAAATGAAATGAATGTATAATCCTACATCCCAAGCAAGAATTCAAAATTTGGATTTCAAGTAATTTTTTACAGTCACCTATTTGGCTATGATGTAGTAAGTTATGTGACAATGTAACATAAATTGATAATTCAATAGAAGTATAAGGTCTTTGAAAAATTCAAATTAGTTTCCTATTGCTGTAAGAAGTGACAATAATGTCATTGAATCACTTTTTGACTAAACAAGCATGACAATAAAATTATAGGAAGAAATTTCTTCGTATGTGCTATAATCCCTCGAATTATTTTGTAGTGATAATAAGTACCGTGAGAAGTGAGAGTGATAATGAGTTCTGGCTTTAGTTTGTATTTCCAGTGAGTCAATTGTATGTCGATTGGAATGACGACCTAATGTTTTAAGGCTACATCTTTGATATGTGAATTGAGCAACCGGTAATCGGGCCTATAATTTTCCATATTCGAGTTTTCGCCTTTTCTGAACACATGTAATGTGGGACAAAAAATTACCATAATCGCATCATTTACATTTGTGGTGAGAGTGTAGCTTCATTTTTTATGCTTCGGGCTTGGAGTTTCAATGCCTAACATCAGACTTGAGAGTTTTAAGCCTTTATGTATGTGTGTGATTCAGTGATTCATCAGTTTGAGGTCTATCTTGTCATGGACTATCACATCACATCCCATGTGAATCCTTCGAGAAACCCTTCAATTTTGTACGGTATTCACACTTGCTGCTCTCATCACTACGTTACGGAATAAGTCACCACTGTATCAACTTGAGTCCTACCACTCCGGAATATAATCCTTCATCATTACAATTGACGCCCTAATTATATACTTATTACCAATATTTAACTAAAATATCGATTATTTAAATCTCTCCCCCGTTCTCTCAAAATAATCCCTTAAAAAGTTGACTTCACTTCAGCAGAGGTGGCGCCAAAACAATCTAACCAAAATAACTCACCCATCCCTATTTGATATTTCACCACCTACCACCACCACCACTCCAGAAAAGGGGGAAGTATATTCTATCTCTCACGCGCTCTTCACGCGACTACGACTAGTTGATTCACACAACCAAACCAAAGCTTTCACAAACTCTCGATACGATAAATTATATATAAAGAGTAGTTAAAGCAGTGATTGAGGTTTAGTTTGGTTGCGAGGTACACATTGATAATTTGATGTTTCTGCCCAATCCTGTTGTTTCCCTTGTCTTAACAAGCCAATCATCAACAATTATTTAAGGTCTGCATTTAACCACGCCGTTTTTGCTACTCTTTCTTTATTGGTTTTATTTTTTATTCTTCATTTCGACTTGCTTTTCACCTAATCCATAATATCTCACCTTTCAATTCTATCTTACTTATATCTAGATCCATTTCTTACTTCAATTTTAATCATTGGACCACTTATTAAAATGAAAATATTCAATGTATGGTTTCCCTTTTAGTTGAGTTCCATACGTGTCACATCAAAACGCCCACAGCTACGCATCTTCACCCTCCACGTGTTTGTAGAAAACCATCAAAACCCATAAATCTTTTATTCTTTTACTTTCCTTCACTGACCTAAAAATAGAGAATTAAATAATCAAAGCAAGAACCTGAACCTTTCGCAATTCGTAGGCTACAGAGGAAAGAAATGTTGAGACTCGCTTCGCAGAGGCTTCTAGGGCTAGCGACGGGCGAGGCCCAGGCGGTGTCGCGGCCTGTCCAGGCGGCGCTGCCAAGATTTTATCATGAGAACGTGATTGATCACTACAACAATCCGCGGAACGTCGGTTCGTTTGATAAGAACGATCCTACGGTCGGCACTGGCCTTGTCGGTGCACCGGCGTGTGGCGATGTGATGAAGCTCCAGATAAAGGTCGATGACAAGACTGGTCAAATCGTCGACGCCTGTTTCAAGACCTTCGGGTGTGGTTCCGCGATTGCTTCGTCATCTGTTGGTGTGTAATTTTAGGGTTTTGTTGTTTCGGTTGTCTGGTTTGATAATAAAAAATAAGGAATGTTATCGGAATTGTTTCTGGTTTTGCTTTTGCTTTCGGTTTTATGATTTGTTATATATATAAGTTGTTTCTGTTTTCCCTTCTAGTAGTTGGTTAATACGCTATTCAAATATATGTATCGTATTTCTTTAGCGTTTAACTTTTATGTAATTAAAGATTCTTTTGCTTAGATTATTGATATTATGACTAGGGTAGCTTAGGTTTTACTTAATTTTCTGAAAGGATTTTTGGATGGTTTGAATTATATGTTTTTGGTTGTTAAGAAGTTTTTTTTTTTTTTTTTTTTTTTAGCTCGTGGTCTTTTTCCATTCAGGTTGTTATAGAATTATACATGTATTGTTTGGTTGAATGACTGGCTTGCTTTTATAATTTGCTGAACATTGCTGTGTTTATCATATTTCAGCTACTGAATGGGTGAAAGGGAAGCCAATGCAGGAGGTCTTGTCTATTAAAAATACGTAAGTTCCTGTGTCTTTTATCTCGAAGTTAAATACGCTTATTTTATAATGTGGTTTAAATGAATTACTTTGCTCAAATAGCGTCCTATAGGTTTTGAGATTAATCTTCAAAATCTTTAAATATGTGATAATCTTAGCTCGTTCTAGTTGATCAGGATGAGCTCTGTTCATTTAGTTTTCTTAACTTAAATTCTGTGGCAAATTTGCTGCCATGATCACTTGTAGGTAATTCTTTTTTATTTGCCCTTCGTTGCTGGTTGTGTGTGTTCTGTATAGATATCATGTATGCCATTTGGCATTCCGGCCTCTTAGTGGGAAATCCATTATGGACATGGAAATGCTTGTTGGATGTACTATGGGTATTGATAGATTGAGAGTGAGACTGCCCTTTAAGTTCACTTCAACATAAAATCAATGAAATATCATTTATTTAATGCTCTAAAGACTTATCTCATCTGATGGGGCAAAGCTCTTTTCAGGGGCAGAAGGTCTTTGTTTTCCATGCCTGTAGTAATTTTTAGAGTTTACATTCATACGTTGACATTGATAAGATGGAACCCTGGAAAATGGTGGAAGTAATGAGGAAAATACAAACAAGTCTTCCTTAGATGTTTAAGGTGCTATTTTGCATATTTTTTCTGTCCAAGGTTTAGCACTTCAGTTTGAAATGGTATACTCATTTCTGGATGAGAGAAAGTAGTGATCTCCTGGATGGTCCATTATAACTCCCTTTTTTACTGATGATAAAATTTGTCTTGTTTTCTGGTTCTAAATATGGCCGTTAATGTTGGTTGTAGTATAGTGATCTAAATACTTGAGTGCCTCCGGAGAATTGGAAGGCATAGAAATTTTCAAGTTTCTCAACTCCATTAACTTTTTCTTTGTGTTGCAGGGAAATAGCAAAACATCTTTCTCTACCTCCGGTTAAGCTGCACTGCAGCATGCTGGCTGAAGATGCTATCAAGGCAGCTATAAAAGACTATGAAGCTAAACACACCAAACCCAGTGCCAGTCCAGAGGCATCGCAGGTTGAGAAGGCCGCCGATGCTTGAATTATGTCTATGTTGATGAAAATATCCTAAAACTCAATTTTAATTTTTTGCTTATCTAGTGGCTGTAATCTGAAGGTTCTCTTGTGGTTCTTATGCTGTTGGAATATTTTGGAACTTTGCTGCGAACCAAATATTATAGAATGGATGTTACAGCTTGGAAGACACCAGTCATAAATATTGTGGTCGTATGGCGATGGATGTCAGGCTATTGGTTAATAGCTAGAACTTTCTATGAATAAATGTGAAAGCGGCCTGTAAATCTGCATGTTGTGTATGAGTTGTGCTTGTGTAATTGACTCTGAAATGAAATGAATGTATAATCCTACATCCCAAGCAAGAATTCAAAATTTGGATTTCAAGTAATTTTTTACAGTCACCTATTTGGCTATGATGTAGTAAGTTATGTGACAATGTAACATAAATTGATAATTCAATAGAAGTATAAGGTCTTTGAAAAATTCAAATTAGTTTCCTATTGCTGTAAGAAGTGACAATAATGTCATTGAATCACTTTTTGACTAAACAAGCATGACAATAAAATTATAGGAAGAAATTTCTTCGTATGTGCTATAATCCCTCGAATTATTTTGTAGTGATAATAAGTACCGTGAGAAGTGAGAGTGATAATGAGTTCTGGCTTTTGTTTGTATTTCCAGTGAGTCAATTGTATGTCGATTGGAATGACGACATAATGTTTTAAGGCTACATCTTTGATATGTGAATTGAGCAACCGGTAATCGGGCCTATAATTTTCCATATTCGAGTTTTCGCCTTTTAGGGGGATTGTACAATCCCCCGGCCCGGCCCGTCAATCCCGCCCTCCCGCATATTGTTCTTTTATTTTTATGAGATTTTATGTTTTTTTTTTCCTTTACGAGTTATATATAAAGTTAGTTTAAATCATGACTTTGATTAAGAATATATCTAAAATATGATATTTACTTTTATAATACTTTCTATATTTGTATTAAATTTATAAAAAAAAAATTTAAATAAGAGGATCTAATAATAAATATAGTATATTTTTTTGTTTGAATTCACAAAATAATAATACATGCCCAAAAAAAAATTGATTAATTATTACAATTTAAAAACCAATATAAGAAATACACAATTTTAACATTAACGACTTACAAATTACACAAATATAATTATCCTTTTAATTAATTAATTAATTGATAATATTATGATGTTAATTATCAATGTTGGAACTTGTGGTAATGGGATTTGTCTTTCACAAATGGACTAATTTTATTAGTGTAGTGAGATAGTGTTTTACAATTAATTATTCAATTACCTATAAATTAGTTAAGATTGAATATAGTTATATTAATTCTATGAAAAATAAATTAATAACTAAACCTAAGCATGCATACAATTAATAACTAATTAATTTACCTAGTAAATTATGTTAAATTGAACATAATATATAATTTTTGAAAAATTAATTAATTATAGGGCTAACTAAGCCTAAGCCTCCATACAATTGAATAATTAATCAATTTACCTAGTAAATTATTTAAGATGGATATAATTATATAATTCTATGAAAAATTAATTAATTAAGCTAAACTGACTACAATTGATTTACAATAAGAAATTTGGTAGAATATGTCAAAAGAATTAGGAAGTTACACTAATAATTTTGTAGAATATGGAGAGCATAAATATTTGATTTTCACCCCAATCTCAGCATTTGAAAAATTAAACACCTTGATTTTGGCACTTGTGTCTAAGATTGTATTCAAATTCTAAAACTTACAATTTGGGTGACATTTAATTTTAACATTGTGTATTGTGTTTGTGTATTTATTAAATTAAATTTCACAATTAAAATAATTACAATAATTAAGATTATTGTCCTAGGAAAATGTGAAAGTTTTGATCCTAAAAGGCAAAAATCCCTCGTTCGGAGATTAAATCCCCACAGGGAATTCCCTCGAAGCCCCGTTATCAGGGGCGCGGACTAGTGGGAGTGATCATCCCATGGCTCGAGGACGGTCATGGGTTGTCCTCACCCTGGATGGGTCGGAGGTCAGGGAGTGGAGAATAGGGTCCGTGCTCTGACCCGGCTCGCCCGCACCCATCCTACATCATGTTTGCAGTGCCAAGTACTAGACCAAAACAAAGACATGACCATCCAATTAAATCTTTTGGCCCACATAGGCCCAACTTTGTTCTCGCCCTGGTTGTATACCCAAATGGCTGGAATATCTAAATGGGCCATCAATGAACCAGAAATGTCCCGACCCCTGGATGTAGGGATGTCATGGGAGTGGAGAATAGGGTCTGTGGCTCAACCGGCCCAGCCGCACCCATCCCTACATCTATGTTTGCAGTGCCCAATACTAGACCCAAACAAAGACATGCCCATCCAATTAATCTTTTGGCCCACATTAGGCCCAACTTTGTTCTCCCCTTGGTTGTATAGCCCACTTAAGTGGCCTGGAATATCTAAATGGGCCCATTTCAATGAACCAGAAGAAACGTAGAAAAAAAACCGGAGAAAACCAAACCGACTTCATCCAGTAACTCGGGATCAGTTATCCATAGTGTCACACAAAACGCCCACAGCTACGCATCTTCACCCTCCACGTGTTTGTAGAAAACCATCAAAACCCATAATCTTTTTACTTTTACTTCTTCACTGATTAAAAATAGAGAATTAAATAATCAAAGCAAGAACCTGAACCTTTCGCAATTCGTAGGCTACAAGAAGAAAGAAATGTGAGACTCGCTTCAAAGAGCTTCTAGGGCTAGCGACGGGCGAGGCCCAGGCGGTGTCGCGGCCGTCCAGGCGGCGCTGCCAAGATTTATCATGAGAACGTGATTGATCACTACAACAATCCGCGGAAAGTCGGTTCGTTTGATAAGAACGATCTACGGTCGGGCAATGGCTTGTCAGGAGGGGCACGGAGTAAGAGGCATTTGGTTATTTGAATTATCTGTTGGTTATTTAAGTTGTTTACGTGTTGGAGTTTGTTTAGATTTTTTAGGAAGTTGTTTCTATGAATCTCTATTTAAGTCAATAAAGCCTAGTGATAAAGGACACCAGATCATATTGTTTTTCCCAATAATAAAGTTTTATTATTTAATAAAGCTTATTATATTTTGAGGCCTAGTTTCCTCTATCAAACCAAACTCTATTTTTGCTCTTATCAGAATAGGTCCCAAGAAGAACAAGTCGCAGTTCATACCAATTTAACTTATATTTGTTAACTTATTAGTTCTTACGTTATTTAAATTAATAGAACTTTAAAACGTTATCTAAATAACACATATTAAATAATATTCTAAGTGTTCTTATCATATTATTATTATAATAACTCATTATTTAACTATTAAAAACATTTAAGGAGATGTATAATTTGGATTGAAAAATATAAAATACTATTTTGAATGTGCCACATTATTTAAAGATTTAATCATAAGAAACATTTAACATGTTTCATGAAGAAATAATAATAAAAAAAAAAATCTTTAAGCCATCTTCTTTTATTGTTCTATCATCTATATAGGGATGGGCATTTGCCCCGGCTCCACGGGGATTCGACCTGGCTTGAATGGGGCAAGGAATCCCCGAAAATGCCGAGGATGGTCCCTAAAAAATCCTCGACCCTATGGACAGGCTCGGGGGGGGGGGGGGGGGGGGGGGGGNAACTTGAGACTATGGTTTGTTACAGGATCTCTCATCAAGTTGGTATATTTTTCAAGGCATGAGGACCGACCAATTGATGATAAAAGGAAGAAGACTGTCAAGGAGAGATTAGGTCTTTCCAATGGTAACAGGAGAAGCTACCCTATTCTTGGTGGGAGGCTTCATTTTGTGAAGTTTGAGACAACCAAGATAAATGAATGCTTAGACTTCATACATTCCAAGCAGCTTCATAATGGTGGTATATATATTCTCATAGTGCTCTCTCAGCATCTTTCTTTTATTTATCTTCCATACTTAATGGTGAATGCAGTCAAACTGCTATGACTTCTACTATCATATTTGTGGCTTTAATTTAGTTTATATATGTAAATTCTGTTGCTGACAAATTTTGTTCTTTTACATTACAACTTTTCTTTCTAAATCCGGTAATTTCTTATGGTTAGGAATTGATTCAACCCATTGGAATTCTAAGGGCCTAGCCAATGACAATGCTGTTATTAAGGTAACATTGTGTCTATAGCTCCTGTTAATTATCTTCTTCTTTGTCATTTTTTCCTGCTGTACTCAGTTAGGATATATTCTGTTACAATATACTTATGCAAGCAAGTTGATCTTGTGAGAAGGCTACAGGTGGTGGGGCTTACAAGTTTACAGACCTCTTCAAAGAAAGGCTTGGGGTTACTCTTGACAAAGAAGATGAAATGGATTGTCTTGTGGCAGGAGCAAATTTTTTGCTTAAGGTGTGTTCTAGATACAAGTTACATCTTCTATTTCTTGTGTAATAGGTTTTATTGCATTTTTTGTGAAAGGGACTGCCAATATAAATGTTAGCAACTTGAAAATGGAATTTTAGAATGTTTCTTCACATTTTCCTCTTTTCTTTCCGATCGAATCTGGTAGTATGCTGATTATCACCATTTACCATATGCAACTTGTGTATGTGTGTCCAATATGTGTTTCATTGTGGTCAATTTGGGAGAAGAGTAGAGCGAAAGAATTTGGTAAAATTAAGATTTTTCATTTTTTCACCATTGTCATGGCATTTACTTGCTACCTATATGAGGGAATACATGGACGGGTATAAATTAATAATACAATTAATGGTTTATGATCTTTAGGTGCTTGTGATTCTTTCACTGTATTTTATAATATTAATTAGATCTTGTGGTTATTATTAATTCAATCTTCTAACAATATTTTGAGTAGGCTATTCGTCATGAAGCTTTCACACACATGGAGGGCCAGAAAGAGTTTGTGCAGATTGACCATAATGATTTGTTTCCTTATCTTCTTGTAAATATAGGGTCTGGTGTTAGTATGATCAAGGTACAATCATCTTCCTGCTCATTTTCAACTCCTGGCCATTGGATCTCAACTATGGTAAAACTTATAAATTTATGATCTATGCTTTTAATTTGGTGTAGGTTGATGGGGATGGGAAGTTTCAGCGGGTCAGTGGGACAAATGTTGGAGGTGGTACTTATTGGGGATTGGGACGGTTATTAACAAAGTGCAAGAGGTTATTTTGATCTTTGAGTTTTTTTGTATCTTCTATATTGGGAGCTCTTATTATGATCTTACTTTTCTTATTCCCATTTCAGTTTTGATGAGTTGCTAGAGCTAAGTCAAAGGGGAGATAATAGGACAATAGATATGCTAGTTGGAGACATCTATGGTGGCATGGATTACTCTAAGGTATATCTGATTTGTGTTTAACTTAACAAGGAACAAAAGTCTTGAAGTGTATTCTTCATTTCTTTCATGGTTGGGATAGCTAAACCATTGGTTAAGTGAGTGATGGGCTGGATCTTTATTTTTTTCTTATAATGTTAGCATGAGATGTTTATTTTTCATATTCTTTGGAATGACTATGTCTATCTATCACCATAGATTGGTCTATCAGCATCAACTATTGCATCTAGTTTTGGCAAGGCTATATCTGACAAGAAGGAGCTGGAAGACTACAGGCCTGAAGATATTTCTTTGTCCCTCTTGCGTATGATTTCATATAACATTGGGCAGGTTAGTTTCATGTAGACTGTACTTTATGCAATATGTAAAACTTGCAGTTCATTATTCGCAGAAGACCAATAATGCAATATAGATGGCACTTTATATGGAACATGTCTAGTATGGAAACCGTTTTTTCATATGTGCTTTCCTATGTTTAAAATATTTGTAGCTTGGATTTGTTTTAAAGAGGTGCCTTTAGTTTTTGTTTTTGTTTCTGATTTATTTTATTTTTTAGTCGTCCTTTCTTTGTATCTACACAGATTATTTCATAAATCACAGTGATGATAAGTTTGACAAGCTTAAAGCATATATATAGTTCAATCTCACCCATGAATGAAGCTCAGTGCATTAAATGCTCAGTGCTTATATTTCTTAATTAATTTCACGAGCATACAGTGGATGGCTCTGGAACCCAATAGATATTCAATTTGCTGCCTGTAATATACAGTGGTGTTTTTTTTTCTTTCTCGAAATTTCATCAACTCTACTTTGGAGCATCTTAAGGGTGTCTGCAATGCTAATGGACAAACTTGCTTATTCTTTTATTAAATATTGTCATATTTGCCTATTTACTTTCTTATTTTCCAATTCTAGAAGGGAAAGGAGAAAAAGGATAGAAACAGTCCCTTGACTCCTCAAAGATGACCTGTTATCTATATATAAATTCTAATGTCATTCTTTCAGATGAAGATTGGGATGATGTATTTTAATTATGTGTCGTAACTTTAACGTTCTCCATTCTACATGATTTTCTTGGAAGTTGTTTGGCATCAATACACTGGATGACTAATCTTCTCCTGGCTATTGGTAAAGATTTTTGCTTCTATTTGGCTGTTCCACCATGCAGATATCTTATTTGAATGCACTTCGGTTTGGGCTCAAGCGTATCTTTTTTGGAGGATTTTTTATTAGAGGTCATGCTTATACCATGGACACAATCTCCTTTGCTGTTCAATTCTGGTAAGGAGTACTTTGTTAAAACTATGGTTTCTGTTTCCTTCTAATTAATAACTGCATGAAACTAGTTATGCTCATCATTAAGGTGACCTCTGCTTCATAGTAGTTGCCTTATTTATTGTCACAATCAAGTTTCCTTAACCTTTGTCCTCTTTCTGGCATTGCTGTGTATATTATTTTCTCTTGACACTTTGAAGTCTTACATTAAATATTTAGGTCAAAAGGAGAGGCACAAGCAATGTTTTTACGGCATGAAGGGTTTCTGGGAGCTTTAGGTGCATTTATGAGTTACGAAAAACACGGTTTGGATGACTTGATGGTTCATCAGTTAGTTGAAAGGTTCCCCATGGGTGCACCATACACTGGTGGAAAGATTCATGGTCCACCGCTTGGGGATTTAAATGAGAAGGCAAGTGTATTCTGACTTCAAAAAATCTACCCTCGAATGCATTTTCCATTGAAATTGAACCGTTTGCTCTGCTAATTTTCTACCTTTGAGGGTTACTGGAATTTAATTTGATGGTAAATGCATTTATGGTTGGGCTTTTTAGCTCTCAATGTAATTAACTGGAAATCAGTATTTTGCTATATTTTGATTTATGCACTTTAAAAAAAAAAAATGAATAAATAAATTTTTAAAAGATAGAATACAACCACAACATTTCTATATCTATTAACCCCATTCAAGCTCTGGGGTTGATTTATGCAGACCAAGGGTAACTTGGCAACATGCTTGTAAAAGCAAAGCCACCCTTCATTAACTAATTTTTAGCTCTACATCCATGTGAGTAGCTATATCATGTAAGAAAACATGCTTTCCTGATTTTATAGTGCAATTTATAGCAACTTCGAGGATGAAGTGTTAACAAATCTTAAAGTATAATATTTCCAAAGATTAATCTTCATCTACCCAAGATAGAATTTCGTTTGAACTTTTTGAATTTTTCTTTCTTTGTTAATCGCATATAAATTCTCTCTATATTTATTTACATTGATTCTGAACTATTTAGTTCCTTTTCATGTTATAATTGGGCCTTACATGGTTTTAGCACTAAGTGACACACACACAACTTTTAGTGAATAAGTAGAAGTTTAATGTTTTAATCCTAGTTGTGAACAGATTTGAACAAAATACTATCATATGGCCATTTGCTTTTGGTATGACACTAAAGAAATTTGCAAGCAACTCCGTGATAATGATTCTATTCAAGCTATATATATATTCTAAGTGTCATTAAAGTATGAGCATATATTCTGACAAAGATGGATTACTTTAAAGTTTGCAAACCTACTTGTCTAAAAGCTATAAAGGATGGAATCTTGGAATCATTTGAGTTAGAGAATAAAGTTCTTATTTATATAGTAGACCATTTGGGAAGTTGGATGAAGGCTTTATAATTTCTGCACCAGCTACCCTAGTCTCTACAAGAATATCTTTTTTGAGCTTTTCTTCTGTCTTATAAGACCTTCAAATGGTGTATGTTGTTTGAAATGCCAGATTTCTTGGATGGAAAAATTCGTCTTGAAGGGCACTGAGATTACTGCTCCTGTACCTATGGCTCCACCTGGAACCACTGGACTTGGAGGCTTTGAAGTTCCTTTATCCAAAGGTGGCACTTTACGTCCTGATGCAAGTGCATTAAACGTTGGTGTTCTGCATCTTGTACCCACATTGGAGGTGTTTCCACTGTTGGCCGATCCTAAAGTGTATGTGAATCTGTAAATTTGTTTTGTCAACAATTTTAGCTAAAATTTTTCCTCGCAGAAATCTTGTTGATTTTGCACTTCATGTTAATTTGAATTGTTTAATTTATTTTGGGTTGTTATGATACACTGTATAAGTTATGGATATTTTTTCTCTTGTCCTGTCACATTTTCCTATTTGTAGCTGCTTTCTTAAGCAGTTTTCTGTTACATATTGCTGATGAATTTTTATTTTGCATTCAGTGCCTTAGCGTAATACTTCTTCAGGTGATAATATTTTGTACACGTAATTAACTGATAGAATTCATACACCATAGAAGAAAAGATACATATGCTTCTCTTGATTTCCTGTTAATGTAGCAGTTTTTCATTACAAGTAACTGCTTATGTTTTTGGAGAAGTTCATTGTTATTTGTTTCATTTTCTACATTTAGTTTATCAGTTTCATAAATCTATAAATGTTTTAATCATCTTTTCTTATGCCTACAGGTATGAACCTAATACCATTGATCTCGCAGATCACAGTGAGTTAGAGTGAGTGCACACTGTAAATATGCATACTTGTGAATGTCTGATGAGATTAATAATAATAATTCAGTTCCAATTTTTCCAAAAAAAAATAAAAAAATAAAAAAAAACTGCAAATAGAAGGTTTGGATAGCTTATTGAAGAAATTTTATGCTGCTGCAGGTATTGGTTCACTGTGCTGTCAGAGCATTTGCCGGACCTTGTTGATAAGGTAAATAGAGATTATCATCCTCAAATCTCTCTTTCTATCTCCCACACAAACACACACTCAAATCAAGCCCACAATGTTGCAAAATAAATCTACTAGGCAAGACAGTATTCTCAAGGTGCTGAGTAGGTTCAGGAAGAGATAAAGGTATAAATGCCTGTTTACTGCTCTGGGTTTGCTCAAACTTGCTGCTACTTGGAGCTGCTGCCTCATTCTTGAACAGGCACATGGTCAGAGCCCTGGTTTCCTTCCCCTACTTGGGAGCTTACGGTTTCATGTTTTATTGGATCATCATTATCCAATAGATTATATATATATATATAGTACTATACTTAAGAAAAAATCTTACAAAGATTTTCATATAAAGTGAGGTGGCAAAAAATGAATGGAAGAGTAAAACAAAAAGTCAAACTCATTATATTTACTCTTCCATTCATTTTTTATCATATCATTTTGTATGGAGATCTTTGTAAGTATATATATATATAATATTTATATTTCTACTTTATAACAAATGTGGAATAAAAGGTGATCTCTAGAAGAAGTCTTAAAGATTAACATCCCAGGTTCTTAACAGCATTTTATATTCAAAGGGATCTTTTATTTCTTCATTCAATGCATGGTTTGAATTTAAGGGGAAGAACAAAATCAAATTTGGGTTCGTATAGTAGTTGGGTTGATGTTTCTGTTCTAACTGCTCTGACTGCATAGTTGGATTTGTAAGCTGTTTCTCCTATTTTTGTTTTATTATATAAATACAAAGTTCTTATTTTCTTATCAAAAAAAGAAAAAGTTAGACTTTTAAGTGGTTTAAAAGTCTGATTTAGATCATTTGTATTTGATATTTGAACTCCTTGATTTTATTGTTTATGTTGTTATATTGTTAACATCTTCACATTGTGGGAAGTTCATTATCTATTTTCTCTGTGTTTTCTCACATTTTCTAAAATAATTAGTTGATTACTTTCTGATATCAGTTGCTGATTGTGAGAGTTTAATGTGAAATATGGCAGGCAGTGGCAAGTGAAGGTGGAACTGATGATGCTAAAAGAAGGGGAGATGCATTTGCTCGTGCATTTTCTGCTCACTTGGCAAGGTAACTCACTCTCACAGATTATTTCTCGTAGATTTGTCACCTTGTTTTACTTGTGAAAATAGTAGAGATCAGCTAGGGATTTGCAAAATCTGTAATAAGTTAAATGGCCTTCATCCTGATGGTATTATAGGTTAATGTTCATTCCTATGCTACGACTGGGAAGGGAAAATAAGTGCACAGTTAGGATCATCGGGTTAGCTCACATCTATAAATGGTTCCAGGCTCAAGGAAGTGCTGGCTCCAATTCAATGTGTGGAATGTTGTGGTATGGAAATTGAAATTAATGATAATTGACTAATTATGAAATAACTTCCTAGATGCTTTGCTGCCCGTACTTTTGAGAGGTAATGTAATTACCTGACTGTTTATCCTTTTAGAAGATCCGTAGAGATTCCATATTCTGTAAAAAAGAAGACTCAATTGCATGAACACTCACGCATCCGTTCCTCACTTATTCCTTTGAGGTAGTCCCTTTAGCTTTTGAGTATCCAATGTGCACAAACTTTTTAACAACTTCATGACTTTAAGTTGAGGTTTTTCTAACTTTTGTTTTTGTTTTTGGTGTTTCTTTCTGTGTGTAAACTTTATACATCATTTTCAGTATAATTGGTGATGCTTGTTCATTCCTTGTGTTAAACATAACCCCAGTTCTTTAGGGGATGACTTCTTGAACTTGGTCACTGCTTTGAGTTTCTGACTGCATAGTACTCACAAGTGTTTCTTTTGCCAAAGAAGTGCTAAAATTTAAACCTGTCATAATTCATCAGGGCCTTTTCAAGGACTGTTGGTTCCATTAATTGTTTTCCTATCTTTACAATTTTTGCTCATGTAACAATGCTACAATCTAAAGATATGAATGAATCTTCCAAACTGTGCACTTTTTCCATTTACTGATGTCTAAGCCATTGTATAGGTTGATGGAGGAGCCCGCTGCATATGGGAAGTTAGGTTTGGCCAATCTTTTGGAACTAAGGGAAGAATGCTTGAGAGAGTTCCAATTTGTGGATTGCTATAGAAGCATAAAGCAGAGGTAACTACGTTTTACTCAACTTAATCTGGGCAAATAGTATTTTACTTGAAATTGATTCTGAGTCTCTCCTAACATACTGCAAATAGAAATTTTGAAAACCATTTTCTTTTGAGTTAGTGCATCTATGTTTACACTTGTTGAACCTTGCATACTCATGTAAGCAGTTTACTTGGGTCAATGAGTGCTGTGTAATCGTGAGCATAATGAAATATGCACATCTAGCTTCCTAAATGCATGATAAACAAAGGGAAATTTATTTATTTATTTTGGTGAATGTGACAGGGAAAATGAGGCATCACTAGCTGTCTTACCTGACTTATTGGTGGAGCTGGACAGTATGAGTGAGGTATGTGTAGTTTACGAATTTCCTCTTCATTTCAACCTCTTGCAAAGACTCTAAAAGTTATAGTCATATAGACAACGTCAAATATTATCATTATTCATTACAGCCTTACCTATTGCCTTTTTTTATTTTTTTATTTAGTTTTGGTATTTAGAAATTCCTTCAATTATTTGGGAGATTTGTAAAACTAATTCTGACCTTAGTTAAATTTGATAGTCACGTTTGGGACATTTTTTTTTTTTCTCAAGTACTGAATTGAACCTAGTAACTCTTGTGTGAAAAATGAACTGGACCAAACCGCCAAATATTGGTTCAGTTTTACTGGAGATTTGAAACTCCCTTTTAGCAACAACCAATGTGTAATAAATTCAAAATAAAAAAAAGTAACCCAAAAGTAAATAAAGAAATAACGACGCTATCACTTCCCAGATGTTTACCATGAATTTTTTCTTAAAAAATAAATAAAATGTGAACAACATAAAAAATTCAAGATAAGAAAAAAAGTATCTTTTATGGCTTCCGCCCTGACTATGTAACAGTGCAGATGATATCATGATGATGCTGGAATTTACAGGGAGAGATGAGGTGAGCATTTGGAGGTGGGTAGGTTAGGAAGAAGTGAATGAACTATGAAGGTTTATTTATACCTTCAATCTTCTGTGGGCCAAACCACAGTTACATAAACAAGTGTCCAATTATGAGTCTATGACATAAATGTGGCTTCTAAAATTTGTTTGCCCACTCCTAACTGGCACCATTTCTATTATTTTACCGTATCATCTAACTCCCTCTTTACTTTGCAGGAGACTAGACTGCTTACGCTTATTGAGGGTGTACTTGCTGCAAACATATTTGACTGGGGGTCCCGAGCCTGTGTGGATCTCTATCATAAAGGAACGATTATTGAAATTTATAGAATGAGTCGCAACAAAATGCAAAGACCTTGGCGGGTAACTGGGAAAAATAATCTTTAATTTTGGAGAACACTTAATTTGTGATGTGCTTATACGAAATAACTGATTGGATGAAATATTCTGAAGAGAGTTTTTATTTTTTAACTTAGGTGGATGATTTTGATGTCTTCAAGGAGAGAATGTTTGGGTCTGGAGAGAAGAAGCCTCAACCACATAAGAGAGCTTTACTCTTTGTGGACAACTCTGGTGCTGATATTGTTCTAGGGATGCTACCCCTGGCTCGGGAGCTCCTGAGACGGGGAACTGAAGTAAGTTTGTTTCTGCATAAAGTTAGTGAAAAGCTTTAAATCACATCCACTACTACTATATATGGTTTCCTTTCCATTCTCATCTGTTTGCTGATGATTTTTTTAGTTCCTGGAGTCTCAAGAGTCTTTACTAAACATCAATATGCTTATGATCTACCATTTTCAATTGGGAATATATATCATGTTTGTTCCTTCCTACCTGAATCTCTCTAATGTAGTATATCTCCATTGTTAAGAAGTTTATGTTATGGACTGCAAATTGATGCTTAGGTTGCAACTGAAAATAGTAGTGCTCTCATCATCTTATGCAGGATCAGATTCTCTGCTATAGCTTTGTTGTTTTTTCTTACAACTAAATTTATGTGTTAAGAAGCAATAATATAAATGTTTCACAGGTTGTTTTGGTTGCTAACTCCCTCCCTGCACTGAATGATGTAACTGCTATGGAGCTCCCTGATATTGTAGCTGAGGCTGCCAAGGTCTGTCTTTGCCCATGAACACTAGATAGTTTAAATTCATTAGGTCAAAATGTCAATCAAACAAACCAAACTGATTCTTCTATCTGCAGCATTGTGACATTCTGCGCAGGGCTGCCGAGGCAGGAGGCTTACTAGTGGATGCAATGATTAATACCTTAGATGGTAGTAAAGATAACTCATCTTCAGTTCCTCTGATGGTAGTTGAGAATGGGTGTGGAAGCCCATGCATTGACCTGAGGCAAGTCAGCTCTGAGCTAGCTGCTGCTGCAAAAGATGCTGATCTGGTATGATGCTAATTTTAATCAAAGAAATCCTTGCTGGTTACTAACTTCGAAAAAAATCCCTCTTCGGAAACTTTAGATATTGTTTTCTTGTGTTTGTAGCTGTTTGTTGTATTCTATTTTTCCTACACCTTTGAGAATTAGTTGTTACAAACATAAATTTAGGAAATGTTGAGAGAATGCATTTAACTTGAGTTGCCACTCTGCAGATTATTTTGGAAGGGATGGGTAGAGCTCTGCATACCAACTTCAATGCTCGGTTTAAATGTGATGCTCTAAAGGTATGATCCCGTAGTTTTATATTTATTTCAGAAGGAAAAATTTAGAAGTAAATTGCATGACCTTTCTATAATCAAGGGGCAATTGCCTAATCAACTGTGGATCCTCATAAACAAGATATTATTATTCCATTGAAAATCTGGAAGGAAGCGGAAAAGAAGAGGAGGTAAAAAGAGAGAGAAAAGAATATTAAAAAAAAAAAAAAGTTAGAAGTCCAGGTAGAGTTAAAACTTTTCCTTTGACACGTGTTGTAACATGAAGAGCCTTGTTTTGCAGCTTGCAATGGTGAAGAATCAGAGGCTGGCAGAAAAATTGATTAAGGGGAACATATACGACTGTGTTTGCAGATACGAGCCAGCCAGCTAAATCTTCAGTTGTTCAAACTGATTAGAGGAAAATTTGATGAGTTGGTCAAACATCCAGAGCAATGGACAATAGATGAATTGGTATTTCTTTTCTTCAGCCTGTAAAACAAATAAACAAATAACAAACATGAAAAGTATTATGGTGGCCTTAAAGTTGGGTTACTGGGGCTGCCCTATACATGATTTAAGAAGAAAGACATTGTCATCTCCTTCATTTTCATTGCAAATGTTATGGATGTTGTTATCAATCAAACCTAAGTTGTAAGGTTTTGTATCATCAACCTCAACTATGAACTCTAAATCTTCTTGTCACAAGACTCACAACTTTAAAACAGAATGGTTTGGAGTAAGGGCAAGCTTGTCTTATGCTACATTTTAATTCATTTGGTTTCTCTGTTTCTTTAGTTCATTGTATACAAAAATATCTTATTCGTCATATATTTTCTGTTCTTTTAGCTTTTTCTCATAATAATTTTCAAGTACATACTATATTAAATCAATGTTATCTATATTTTGATTATTTAACAATTGTTCTGGAAAGTTATGTAATACTTAATAACCATATACATGTGACAAAATATCAGTATAATTCAACACTTAATAATTATACATTAAAATAGAAAACAAATATATCCATCAAATTTTATATATTTAAACATTTTCAATTAAAAACCTATAAAAGCAATTTAAGTCAGTTACATTATCTAATAAATTGGTCCATTTTATTAGAGTTAACAATTCTTTTCCACCCACATAATGACTTAATAACAGTTTTTCATTGAGAGACTTTTAAAATACCATTTTACTATTTAAATTTATATTTCGACGGTGAACAAAAAACAAATTTAGTCCAGATTGTTAGGACGTTTGAAGATGAGAGATCAATGAATTTGATAAGATCATAATATGGTTTGAGAGATTTTAGTTAGTGATATTTAAGAAAGAGAACGATGGTGATGTGAGATTCTTTAACACAAAATATAAATTTAAATAATAAAATAATATTTTAAAAACCTTTATTAAAAAAAAGTGTCAATAAACCAAGTGGGAGAAAGACGTTTACTCCATTTTATTATTAGTAGTAGATATCCCAAATCAGTCATTTAGAAAGGTTGGTGAGGCAAGCGGAAGAGGGGCTGTTTTCGAAAATTTCCCTAATAATGAATCCGAATAAACAGCACATAGATTTACTTGAAATAAGTAGAAAAAGCACAGAAAGTGGATGCAAAACTCGCTCCTTTGTCACACTGACACAACACAACTCTACTCTCTCCCTGTCTTTGTCATTGCTGTTTCTGTCGCCTGAACTTCATTTCTTGGCTTTTCTTATTCCTTTCTCTGTCTTCTGTCTTTCAATTTTCTCCTGTACTCACTACCATCAATTTTCTTTCTAACTTGTATTTACTTCCCCATACCAACCAACTCATTCACTCTGCCTACTATGAGAATGTCCACTTTTATTTTCAGGTATTCTCTTCTTTTTCTTTTTTCTTTTTTTTCAGTGGTTGTGGCTTGTTTTACTTGATTTTTTTTTTTATTTTTTTTTTGAACTTTTAACTTCTCATTTTTATTAAAGTCTGCTCTTTTTTTCCTTTAAGATTATGTTGTTTGTATAATAAAGCTGGGATCTTTAATATATTTTTATATTTTGTTCTTGATCAGCTGTGAAGTGATTGTGAGATTAGAATATTGAAGGCAAGTTAAAAGAAGAGAGCTTTTTGGACAGTTTTGATTATGGAAAACCCTAAAACCCCAGAAACCCTAGAAGCTCAAATTCCAAATGATGAAACCCTAGAAGAAGTTCAGGGGTCTTCTGGGTTGTTTGGTTCTCTTGAGAAATGTACTGGTTTAGTTTCTGGTGAAGAAATGGGTAAAGGGGTTGATATGAACAGTGGTGGTAGCAATGCTTGTGAAGCGGAAGTTGCTGAAAGAGTTATTAACAATGGAGGAGAGAATAGGGTTGAAGAGAATAGTGTTTGTGTTGCTGAGGTCCAAGAGATTAGTGTTAATGTTGCTGGGTGTGAAGAGCGTGGTGTTTGTATTGCTGGGGTTCAAGAGAGTAGTGTTAATGTTGCTGGTTGTGAAGAGAATAGTGTTAGTGTTTCCGGGGTTCAAGAGATCAGTGCTAGTGCTGCTGGGGTTGAAGAGAATAGAGTGGGTGTTGCTGGGGTTGAAGAGAATAGTGTTAGTTGTGTTGGGGATGAAGAGAATAGTGTTAGTGTTGCCGTGGTTCAAGAGATTAGTGTTAGTGTTGCCGGTGTTGAAGAGATTAGTATTGTTGCTGCTGGGGTTGAAGAGAATGAAGTGAGTGTTGTTGGGGTTGAAGAGAATAATGTTAGTGTTGCTGGGTGTGAAGAAACTAATGATAGTCTTGCTGGGGTTCAAGAGATAAGTGTTATTGCAGCTGGTGTTGAAGAGAATAGAGATAATGTTGCTGGAGTTGAAGATAATAGTGTTGGAGTTGCTGGGTGTGATGAGATTAATGTTAGTGTTGCTGGGTGTGAAGAGCATAATGTTACTGTTGCTGGGTATGAAGAGAATAATGTTAGTGTTGCTGGGGTTCAAAAGATTAGTGTTAGTGCTGCTGGGTTTGAAGAGGTTAGTGTTAGTGTTGCTGGGGTTGAGAAACGCTGTTTGTTGAGTGATGGTATTGTAAAAAAGAATGAAAATAAAGTGGATTTTGTGGAGGCACAATTGGTTGCTGAGTTGGGTATGGCTGATGATGGGAGTGAGGAAGTTGTGGTTGAGAAGACTGTAAAAGATGAAGAAATGAATGAAGAGACCGTTTTGGGTTCAAGTGAAGCTGGCTCGGTTAAAAAGATTGAAGTTTCTGGAGACAATATATCACTTTTTGTAGATTTTTCTGGTTCTCTAAGCAGATCTAATCAAGAAAATCTTAATGGAGCAATGGGCACTGGATCAATGTTGAGTAAGGAGTTAAAAGAAACTGGGGAAGAGGAAAAGGAAGTTGGAATTGATAATCAAGAGAGCAATTTTTCTGTGGGTGATGTCGTCTGGGTTAAAACCAAAAATCAGACTTGGTGGCCTGGAAAGATATGTGACCCTTTAGGTGCACCAACATCTGCAGTGAAAACTGACCAGGTGGACTGCCTGCTTGTAGGGTATTTTGGAAGTGTGCATGTTGCTTGGTGCCACCCATCTCAGCTGAAGCCTTTCTATGAGAACTTTGAACAGATTTTTGGGAAATGTAAGGCTAGAGTCTTTGTTGTTGCAGTAGAAAAGGCAGTGGATGAGTTCGGTAAACGACTGAAATCGGAGTTGACTTGCTCTTGTGTTGCAAAAGAAAGTCACCAACTATCTGGCAATAGTGCAACTACCAAGGGAGCTTCCATCCCTAAGCGTAAATGTGCTGAACTTGGCAAGTTTTCGGTCACTAATTTGGAACCTGCCAGTTTTCTAGAACAACTCAAAAATCTTGCACTGGGCTTTCCCATGCCTGGCATGCTTGAGCGTAGTGCTGCACAGAATAGTTTGTCTGCCTTTTATCTTTCTATTGGACATAGCCAAGTGCCTATGGATCAGCTCCGGGGAACTGATGTTGAATATAGTGATGTTGACAAGCTCATTACTGGAAGCAATGACGATATTTTACAGCAGAAGAAGAATGAAGCTCTGGCCATGATATTGGGAGGGGACCTGGGTATTGTTGCTGACGAGGTAAGTGCCTCGGGAAAAATGGAATCAAATTTCAGAAAGAGAAAGAGAAAGAGAAAGAAGGATTCTGAAGCTAGAAATGGCATTGATGCAAGTGCATTGGATTCCTTATCTAAAGAAAAGGAGGGCAGCCTGATGGGACCTCCGACTATTGCTGATGAAGACGATCGGAGTGAGGGGAAAAGTGAAAAGGGATTTGAATTGAGAGAACGGAAGAAGAGTAAGTATCTATCATATCCTTATGTAAACTGGGGAGACAAAAGCCTGCCAAGCGAAACAGAAGATCTTAAGGTGCAGACAGTCATTCATGATGGAATGGAGGAGGAAACCGGCAGTGGTTTGTTTGTAGTTTCCCCTGCAGCTGTTAAATCTAGTGGTAAGAGATTCCAGAAAATATGGTTCAAAAAATTCATAAGTGGAAATGATATATCTGCAAATCCAGAGCTGATTAATGCATCTTCAGCAGAATTGCTCTCTGAACTCTGTTTTACAGCTGTAGACTGCCTCTATCCGAATAAAAACAAGAACTTTGATTTAATTGAGTGGTTCTTTTCTAGATTCAGAATATCGGCATATCATGATGAATCCATTTATGAGATGTACTGCAAGAATACGGTTGGTCAGAAGCAAAAAGATGCTAAGCCTGATATGAGTGAAAACCCTGATACATTTCTCAGAAAAGATCCACTGGAAATGAGTCAGCCTCCACCCAATATTGATCCTCAGCACAAGGTGCAAAAGAGAAAGAGAAATAGTAACTCAGCAAAATCAAAGATTAAATCTCCTTCTGGCCTATCAGATGCGAATATGAATCTTGATGCTAGTAGCTTATCAGCAAAAGATTTCCAGAGTACAGGCACTCACAATCTGCAAACTGGACAAACTACTTGCATACCTGATTTGAATAGTAATGGTGCTATACCCATGGTTTTGGCAGAAAATGCCCAGGTTATTGGCCAAGTGGCTTCTGAGACGAAGAAGAGGAAAAGGAAACGAGGAGCTGCTGCAGGGTGTTCAGAGACTAGAGTTGGTGCCAGCTTACAAGATCCAAATGGAAATGTTGCGAAATTTGGATCATTGGTGGTAGACTTGCAGGTGAAGGGCCCGTACTCTATCAATTCTACCCCTGAACAAAGAAATGGAAATTCTCCTGTACCGGCCTTGTGGGTCAAAGATCCACCAGGAGTTAGCCTGCTCTCAACTGAAGGTAAGCCTGGACAGAAAAGGAGGAGGAGGAGGAAAGCAAAAGCAGCATCGGAACATCAGGAGACAGTAACTACTGCAAACATACCAGACTTAAATGGAACTAGTGCAGAACCCTGTGCATCTCCACATGGAAAACCAGAGAAGAAGAGGAGGAGGAGGAGGAGAAAAGGGGAAGCTAGTGCAGGGCAGCTGAGTAGAAGATTTGCTTCCAGGACACTGAATATGAATAGAAATCAGGACAGAGTTGACGGCAGCGGAGAATCTTCAGGGACTGCTCTTGTCCTGACATTTGCTCCAGGAGTTTCCATGCCTTCGAAAGAGGTTTTAGTTACAACATTTTGCAAGTTTGGGCCCTTGAAGGAATCAGAAACACAGTTGTTGAAAGACACTAATATTGCCCAGGTTGTTTTCATGAGGAGTGTGGATGCTGGAGATGCCGTTCAAAGTTTAGAGAAGAGCAACCCTTTTGGTGCAGCCCTTCTCAATTATCATCTCCTGGCAAAACCTTCCGAGTCAGTTACTCAGCCTGGTGAGGCACCTCCACTTGAATTCATAAGGCAGAATCTTGAGATGATGACATCAATGCTAGCAAACTCAGGAGATAATCTTTCCCCGGAGATGAAAGCCAAATTGGAGAATGAGATTAAGGGCCTGCTGAAAAAGGTCAGCTCCATACCCAGCTCTTCCTCTTCCTAATCGAAGCTGTAAGATATAAAATATTCATTTGGTTGTTTATGTAGTAACCCTAGATTGTTATGCTTCCCTGTTTTGTCTTCTGTATCGGCTGTTGCTTTGTATGTATTTTCCCTCTCTCTGATGTTGCCAGCACGAGAACTGTTTGGTCTTTGCTACTCTGAAATGCACAAGCCTGGGAGCTGCAATCAATTCGACTAATTGCGTTTTCTTTTTCTTTGGCTTCTGATTATTAAGTATGTTTCTTCTTTTTCAGATTTTGTTTGTGTGGTGAGAAACAAATGTATGCCATGAAATTAAGCCAGGTTAAGAACCATTGGTCAGTACCATTGTTCTGATGGGAGCCTTTTGTTGACTAGCTAGTTGAAAACCACATACAGACGCAAATCAGGTAAGACATGCACAGATTCTGCATCGACAGCAGTAGATAATGCTCAAGTCCATTTTAAATCCAGAAACGTTAACATCTTAATTGCTTTTCATCCCAGTTTTACCCACTCAATCAATTGGCACTTGTGCTTACACCGAATCAAGATATCCAATCACACCAAGTGTAACTGGATGCGAAAAACAATAACACAAGATATTTGACTATTTGTAGCTCGTATAATGGAAAAGATTGTTCCTGGATATTAATTGCCTTGTTTGCGTAGTACATGCGCTCACATAGATCTTTACTACAATTGATCGCCTTAAGTTAACTCATATTTGTAAATTACAACAGAAAAATTGGACCCGCAATTTGACACAACAGTAGTCAAGATATTTTCAGGTTGGCTTGGCTCAATGTTCTAAAAACCAAACCGGACCGTCCGATCGGACCGGTAACCGGCGGCATATTTGGTCCGGTATTCTTTGAAAACCGTTAATTTCATTCAAACCGGATTGGACCGCGGTTGGATTGTTGGAATACTGTTGAATCGCGGCTCAATCCCGTCGGATTTCAACATCGTTCAAGGAAGAAAACGCCACCATTAGACTTGACGACATCTCCACGACAAAACCCAGCCGTTTTCAGTGACCTTCGTCGCTCGCCGTCCACCTAAAGTTCACCATCAGATTCGTCAGCACCTATACATCAAAAGCCCCATGATTCCAAACCTTGATTGGTCGTCAATCATCGCTGTCGCCACCATCACCAGTCTCTTCGCGCGACAGGGGTGTTTTGGATAGATTTTAAACCTTAAGGGAGTATTATAGAAGCGTTTTTGATGAATTTCAAACATTTAGGGACTAAAAATAACTTTACAGAATATGGTCCAACAGATCAAACTGGAAATCGGACCCTTGAACGGGTCATAATCCGGTCCGGTTTTCGGAACATTGCTTGGCCTTGGCTTATATATCACATCCCCAGTTTAGCTGAAATTGGAAATTGCCCTAGCAATGAAATGATAGAAGATACAGCAAGTTTCGTAGTAGTCCGGATTTAATTTGTTGGTACAAAAGCTCAAATTTTATGCATACCAATGTAGACTTCAACCTCTGTTTCTCCATCTCTGTGTGGGCTAAGAACATCTATTGTATTTAACACCAAGCCATGGGGGAGAGCACAGGGGCACATTGTGCACATACTAAACTCAACCAGCGCGCATCAAATAAAGAAACTAAAATTCAAGTTGCTAAGTCAAAGTTTACTGTTGAATCTCGCCCAAATTATTAGTCTTCTGATGATCAAGCGGAAACTATTGTTTGGTGTTGTGGGATCTGGCATCGTTCTGAAATTGAAACATCTCACAAAACACAGAATTTAGAAACCAAAAGCAACAAATCAGAACACTGCCTAACATAGCAAATGAGTGTCATAATCAAACGTGATCAATTTCACAGTTTGCAAAAGAGGAAGATGAAATCTAATTATTTCTTCAAATCTCTATAAAAAATTGCTGCCCATTCAACATGGCAAAATTCATTGAGAATATGTCAGATAATCCATCATTCTCTGGACAACAAAAGTCACCAAGTACAACAGAACCAACAATAGCTGGTACAATGTGACTTGACATTTTCATTCCATAACTGCAACTCCTCCTGCGGCTTTTATCTTCTCTATTATGTCATTTGCCTCTTCTTTAGTGACCCCTTGTTTAAGTAGAACAGGTACCTTCTCAACCAGGTCCTTGGCCTCCTTCAAGCCCAAAGTAGTGAAAGCCCTCACTTCTTTAATGACCTTGATTTTTGCAGCTGCGTCAAATTTCTCTAATTTCACATCAAAAGCTGTCTTTTCCTTCTTTTCTTCGACTTTTGCAGATCCAGCAGCTGCCCCTCCCTCTGCACCCAAGTCCATGCCTTCTGTTGAAATTGGCTGCAACTTTGGATGCCTTAGCCTCTCGGTAAGAGTAGGTCCAATTTGCTTGCGTTCATCAACAGTCAATGCAGCAATGCGTTCAGCGAGCTGAACAACTTTATCAGAGGGTGGGGGCCTCGGGCCATATGGATCATAGAATGCTGGATATTTGTACTTTCTGGGCTTGGCTTTAGGATCTCTGGGAACAAAATCAGGCTGGAAAGAACGAAACTGCAAAGGTCCAATTACTTCAGTGAGTGTTGGACGAGATCGAATAGATCTGGCAAGTGCTATCAACTTCATGGTTTTGTGTTCAGTGAAAAAAATGAGTCATGGAATAATTATGGCTAGAAATAGATTCTCTCCTTTATGACAAACCACAGCAATGGATGAAACAGGAGGACTTCCAATTCACAACGTATCTGAACAGCACCTTCTAAAGCACCACAATCTAGAAGAAAAGAGAAAATAATAAAAATAAAAGGTTACATCAGTTAGAAAAAAGGAAAATGTCTATTTATTTAAATACAGAAGATCAGAAAATCTATGCAAGTATCAAACTGCAAAGTTCACAATAAGCACTTTACATCAAACTGTACAAAAGTGTGATTCGAAGACACCGTGATTAAAGTGCAAATCGTAGACCTCTGCTGAATCAGAATCAATCATACTTCCCCACAATTAATCCCCTTATAGGTATACATATCAATAACTCATTATCATATCACTGTGCAGATAAACCAAAGGCCCAAGTTGGCACATCACTTTGCCCTCATTCGTTACATTTGAACTTTAGCATAAACAAAGAAGTAAACATATTGAAAAACTAATGCAAATTTGCTGAAATATGTCCAGAAAGCTAAAAAACGGAAAAATTGGTTCTGCTACGGGCATTGATGGAAGTCAGGGTTATTCAATTCAGTTAAGTAGGAGAAGGGAGAGAAGAGTTGAGGAGGTGCATGTTGTGGCGGAGGTGGCGGTGGTGAGAGGAGGAGGGGAGGGGTCGGGTTTTTAATAGAAGGTGAATTAGGGTTTATATGGCCTAATCTAGCTGGTTAATGAACTATTTGAAGTTGTAGCATTCTGTTCAGTGTATAATTCATAGTGAAAGAGAAAACCCCAGATTCAAACACCAGATTAACAACTAAGAATGTTTCACAAAAGACTGATCAGCAACGAATACAGACGGTGGAATCAAAGATCTTACCTGAATGAAATGAAAGTGACAAATGGAGATCAGCAACAGCAATAAAACCCCCAGTTTTGTTTTGCATCTATAAACATAAACCCTAGACTCCAAATCAAGGGGACAACAAGCCCATGTAATTGGCTTCCACAAAGGCCATTGTCACTGCACGAGACTGAGGCGGACCAAAGACCAATGGACTATTTGTTCATAGTACAAACTGTACAAAGACCCAAAAAAACCCATATTCGTGCTAACCTAACTACCTAAGGCTAAAAGAACTCAGATTTGGACTAACCTAAGGCCCAAAGAACCCAGATTCGGCCTAACCTAACAAAGAAGTTGTTGGTCTATAAAATATAATTTAATAATTATGTTAATAACAATTTAAAAATCTTATTCACTAAATAAACAATTATAAATTTTGAAAATTACACATTCAACCTACTTTTAAAGTTGATTATTTTCAAAATTGATAAATAAGTGATTAAGATTAAACCTATAATAATTCCAAACTAACTCAACATTATAAAACATAATTAAAATGTTTAATTAACTTTAGATTTCCCTCCAAGATGGAAATTATATCTGAATTAAAAGAAAAATATTAACCTTAGATGACCTCGTCAATGAGATAATAAGGGCGTCATTGACGCATTTATAAAAACGAATTTAGTTTGCACCGTCCCTTTGAAAACGATGAATTAATCCACAGAACGTGTATCACAAAGAAGTGGCTTTAAATCTTTAAAATTGATATGGAATTATTTTCCTGCTCTTGCCATGCATGCTTAATCAAGTTTTCCTTCTTTACAATATGCTTCCTCTGTATAATTGTAATCCATGATAAAAACATGCAAATTGCAATAATCAGGAGTTAGCCACGAAAGTGCAATGGGGTCACATGGTAATTGCACGAAACTCAATGAGAATTCTCACTTTCCCTGAAAACACTGCTTCCTTCTTCTTTAAATGTCTCAAAACAATGTCCAAGCCGCAGAGAGACATATGCATAGTGAGGCTACTTTATGAAATAATAACATAATAATAATCACTCACAAAACACACAGACGTCGGAATATAAAAGATATAGAAAGATATACTAAGTACTTAAACTAAAAAAAAGAAAGGAAAACAATAAAAAAAGCACTATTATATCTTCCTCGGTATAACAACAAAATGCTAGAGCTTTGAATGTCTTACATGGCGATAAGACACCAAATTAGATAATATAAAGATGATTAAAAAAAAAACAAACAAAAATACAAAGCCAACACTAAGGCACTTATGGCAGCCCTTTTTAGAGACTTAGGGATGTCTCTCATTCACACTCCTATTGCTGCCGCATGTTAAGTCAATCACGATTTCTGAAGACTGCCTTCACTGAATCAAACATACAAAAATAAAATAACCTTTTCATCAAAGGCATTAGATATTTCACATATGATGGGATCGATCATTCCTGGATTAATAGAAATTTAGACTAAGGAATTTGTGGCGGATGAGCCATAGCCATTCATCATTCCAGTCCATGATCCCAAATTTCCTAAATACCCGAATGTGTCCTTCCCAACCTGATCGGAACAACCTTGGTCTTGCCAGTCGAGTGACAAGAGCTTTGTATTTGGTTTAACATCAACCGCATTTTGATGATCTTCATTTGCTTCGTATGGAAGCATCAATCTCTGGCAAGTGTCCATGAAAGTTCCGCCATTTCCATCAACAGACATCCCAAATGGAGAGCAAAGACCATGAACGTTTGGAGCCAGTCCATGACTCAAACCCCCAATCCCACCAACCATTCCCAACTCATGACCATTTCCCATAAAATCATAATTTCTAGAACTACCAACTATAGCTTCTAACTTACTCTCCATAAAATCAATCGGCCTCGGATTTTCAAGCATGGCATTATATTTAGCGTCCATGAAATTAGGGTTAGCAAGAGCACCATGAGTGCCCATTATGTTTCCAAGGTGAGAAAATTGCATATCGGGGAATGAAAGGTGAAGATCAGTGGGATTATGAGATGATGATGATCCGGGATTTTGGTTAATGGACTGATGATGATCGTTCGATTTTTTAGAAGAAACTTTCTTGTTCTTTCTACAGCCACCACCAACAGGAATGTTCCTCAGGGTGCCGCCCTTAGTCCAATACCTTCTACAAGTCTTGCAAAAGTAGCGTGGCTGAGAGAGGCTGTAATTGTTGTAGTAACAAAATTTGGTGTGTGTCGAGTCACACCTCGGGCATTTGAGCGCCTGATCGTGCGGGGGCCTCAGCCTCCTTTCTATCAAAGGCCTAGAGCAAGTGAGCATGTCACCACCAGATGGTGAAGAAGAATCCAAACCGGAATCCTCGTGAATCGTGCCCTGGACATGGAAACAAAGAAATAATGCAAAATGTGTTAGTGCTACGACTAGACATTCTTTGTCATTTCTTAAATATCGATTACTGCGAAGGCTAGACATTCCCTGCCATTTCAGCAACCAACTAGAATGTCCGGATGACCGAATAATTACTACCGCACACAATCCTAGAAGCAAACTCAATAGTATCCGATTAACCATCCAAATTTAACTAGCAAAAACGTATGGTTATCAACAATGTCCCGAACTTACAATGCCCATCATCTTAATCAGATTATGTTGATAAAGCTTTTTAAGAACAGACAGAATTATTTTAATCGTAAGTTAAATGAAAATGATGAGAGTTAATTTCGCCAGTATCTCTTGTTCGAATTATATGGCAACAACATGCATGACTTGCATTAATATATATATCTTAAATGGTAAACCAAAAATGTCGGCAGGTTCTCGGAAACAATTATAGGTGTCGCCGTGTCGGCAATTATCAGAATTTTGGAACAAACGGGACATATATGAATTGTGTTTTCTCTCATTCATGTATCTAGCTAGAGTTGAGTCATAAACAATGCGCTAAAGCAACGATGGAAAAAAAGCTATATAGAAGTTACAAATGCATGGCCATGGCATATTAATTACCTGAAGCCAATCAGACGAATCCATGCAGACTTGCAGTGAAGTAAGACCCATGAAACAAACGCCAACTACAAAATAATTATATAATTCACACTCTATCAAACTACCCTAGTCACCTCCTCTTCACAATCAGAACGCCATTAATTCTGTGTACTCCTTGACTCGTTTGTCTATGTTGGAGAGAGGGAAATTGAAAGAGAGAGAGGAAGATGACAAATTGAAGAGAAGAGAGTGAGAGTGAATGGAACGAATGGTTTGTCTGGAATGCGGGGGGGAGTGAGGGTTGGTGGTGAATATGAAGGGAAGAAAAAGTGCAGCAGCTGTGTAGTGTGGACAGTAGAGAGTAGGTGGTGGTAAACTGCAAAATACGGTCCAAACAGTGTCGGTGGCCAAGCCTTATTGGGCCCCACTATGTCTGTCCAATGTTAGAACAACAATGGACCCACTTCTTACATCAGCTTGACTGAAACTCCTCTTGTAAAATAAACGGACTGTGATGTCACTACAATCTTTGTGTTGCTCAAACTACAGCCGTTGGATTATAAATCAGTTAACGTCAGAGATCGCGGCTTAGTCTTTACAATTCACAAAATGGGTCCACCCTTCTCTGACGTGACACAAGCTTAGAGGGACAGAGATGGAACAGAAGAGAATAATAATTTTGCAGTTCTCGATAAAGAGAGAAAAGCATAACGAAAGAGCACTCCACTTGCGGGCCCTCTCGAGTGGCCCCCACTCGCTCTCCTCCTACAAGCAAAGGATAGATTCCCCACACCACCACTCCCTTCTCACGTGCCTTCCTTCCCCTACCAATGAATTTTTTATATTCCCCATTTCAAATTAAGAATTGGCCCCAACTCAACTAGGCGGCTCGGTGGTTGGATTTTAAAAAACGAAATCGAGTTGAGCCCGCATCAGAGTTCACGAGGGTGCTTAAGGCTGTAGCTTGCGTGAAGAACACACTTGAGGAAATAGGGCCCAAAGTACAGAGTCAAGTGAATAAAGTGTAAATGCCCACGTTTCACCGTACAACTGACACTTCCTTCTTGTAAGGAGTGGGATTTTTTATCTCACACTCACTTCATAGTCGATTTGGTAATCATCGTTACTTTCCCAAACGTTTATTTTTAGCCCATCTCGTACAGGGTTTAATCATCATTTCAATCATAAGGTTTATGATTATTTATATTTAACTGGATTTCAACCGGAGGGCATGTATAGATATACAAATACACTATCACTCTATGCCCAAGAATTTGAATGGAGCTTTAGGTTGCTTTCAGATAGATGGAGACTGAGAGAAAATTCATGTCCCCCACAAGGCCAAAGTGTCTTGGTCGATTGATCGATTCTTGTCATTTGCATGTGTGGGGAATGGAATGGTCTTTACTCTTTAGATGATAAAGATATCTTACTTCAAACACAAGCAACCATTTTTGTCTTACATACTGTTGGGCGGCAGAAGTAGTTAAAACAATCAAAGGTAATTAATTTAATTACCTTTGGTTTAATGTCAATCTATATATGGCCCCGCTAAAAAGAGAAAAATGTCTTCCTGTTTATTATATAGGAGAGCTTTAATTTTCATGCAAAGAGATCACAGTCGATGCTTTAGCGTGATTCATGATTGGAGGTTTAAATTATTTTACCATCTTTCTGTCCATTTCACATGCTATATACGTGCCACGCACTAATTTAGTGCTAATGTTTTAAAAAGAAAAGCCTCGTCTTGCGGTCTAGCATGCAGCTGCTAGCAGCATTTGCTTTCAAACTATGATCTCCTTTAATCTGATAACTTTCAATCGGGAAAATCTTCATGTTGAAGCTCAACACTACTGCCTCACTCTATAGTCTATATTATCTTGTTGGTGCTTTTAGATTTTAAGTTTTTTTCCCGTCAACTTCTAGTTCAGATAAAAGTGAAAAAACACAACCCAATTTATTCAAAAGTTTTATTCTCCTACAAATCTTAAGCTTTCTTTCTTTTTCCCCCCCTTTGTAAAGTCACAAACAGCTTATTATCTATTTTAATTAGAGAGAATAATGACAAGTGTCAACATGTAATTAACCCTTGATTGTACCAGTTCGAAATTTGAACTCAAATGTGTAGGCTTTGCATATGAATATATATATATTTTGATCAAACGGTTTCAAATTTGGGTAGGTTCCCTCTGATGATGATCAGAATCTGATGTGGTCCTCCTCATGATGATGGTCAAACAACTATGCACCTCGTAATTTGTTCAGTCAATGAGGTTCTTTTGGGCCATGGAGTGGGCCAGCATTGATGAGTTCCCTTTGATATATATTCCCGTATTAGCTTTGAAGCCACATGTATGGCAATGATGCATCAAAATATTTGGTAATAGTAATACTGACCATGATTGGCTGGAAAAGTTTTAGATTATGACTCTGTCCCTTGATCCAATGGGCTTCTTTTATTTATCAATTAACAGCTTGGAGTTGGAACTAAGCGCTCGATGAAGATCATATATCTAAATCATCTGATCCCTGGTCCATCGATATCCACCCGTGCATGTGAAAGATTATGTTTGACAGATAAAAATAAGACTAATGCCGTCAGCAAAATATATCAATCCTAAATTCAGATAATCAGTCTTAAGTGACACTCAGCTTGACCAAGGGTGATATAGTGCGCATGCGCGACATCTACAGCGATGACTGCGGCGCAGGGCGTAGAAATAAAAATATATTCGATGGGGGCAGAATTTTTATACACGAATCTGATGGGTCGGTGGACAGGATCTTCAACCCCACTGTATTTTAACCTCTATTACTTTGCTTTTTCTCTATTTGTTTTGTTGCCAGAGATGAATGATTATGATTTCTGTTATTTTGCTCTACTAATCCAGGTCATTTGGGTCCCATCTTTGCTTACTGAACCCGACCATCCGTCTCTTATTATTGTCATTTTTTCCCCTCCCGTCAATTTCATGACCTTCAAATTTCCCCATTATATCGTGAGAACTGATTCTGCTGTCTTCACGGTTTTCATAACTATTACAAGTTCTAAATTTAATTAAGAGAAAACGGCAGGTTTAGAAAAATGCGAAGTTAATGCCTTATTTGTATTTATTTCAAATTCTCACCCTTAAAATAATATCGTTTTCTTTATTTTAATATATTTTTAAACTTTTTACTATAGCACGACACACATATAAAAGATAGACTCTTATTAGCAATGACCAAGTCGACAGTTTTTGACTTTTTTCCGGTCGACTCTAATGTCTAAAGTCACTTTCGAGACCACCGTTAGACTTCTCACAATCTCCTCTACAAAACTCATATTTTCACTTGCCGACCTCACTCACTGTTTTTAATCACCTTCAAGAGTCAATAATGGTGTTAGTTTAAGGATAAAAATCTGGAATAAATGCAACCAATGCTATCAATTTGTGATTTTGCTAAACCTTTAGTGGGAATATGTCGTTTTCAATCACCTTCAAGAGTCACTAATGGTGTTAGTTTAAGGATAAAAAACTAGAATAAATGCAACCAGTGCTATCAATTTGTGATTTTGCTAAACCTTGAGTAGGAATATGTCGTTTACTCTTTAATTAATTAATTTTATAAATGTTGTGTGTGATTTTTCCACCAAACTCGAGATATTGCGAGGATATAGCTCAACTTCATTGGTTATTCGACCCAACATGAGCTCGTCGACATTTAACTCGACCCAGCACAAGTTGGTCGTGAACAACCCGAATGATCACTCAATCAATTCCTAGATAACTTCAGATCCCAGATATTGCGGGGAAGACTAGATCAACAACAATCTGTGTGCAATTACAGTGCCCAATCGTGAGAATATCAAAATTGCATTTCGAATCAATTGTAATTCATTTATTTTCACTCTTTTATTTCTACAAATCTTGTACATAAACCACCTACAATGATGGAAAATGGGTTACAAAATTTTCATATAACTCTAATTGTAAGGTCTCACAGCAAATACAAACACAATAAACGTAGGCTTAAGAGTTTATTTCGCTGAACCACTTTAAAAATCTCTTTGTTATTTACATTATTACATTCCTTATTTTTCATCGCTGATTACCTGTAATCATGTACATATCGGTTCCAATCTCGTCAAAGTCGATCAAATCATTCTAGTTGGTACATATTTCTATATCAACAATAAACTAATTTGAAGAATTTAGTAGGTTTTAGAACCATTGATTTGTTAAATAAAACGAGGTTGTGATTAAAATTGAAAATTTTCAGCTCCCAATTGGTAGTCAAATTTGAACACGAAAGCCATTATGTAATTAAGGTAATGATGTTGTTAAATTTTGAATGATTTGAAACAAAACTTTACTTGGTCAATAAATTCTCCACGTAATTGAATATTGATCTTTCATTGATTAATTGATAAATAATATAGGGTGTGGGTCCATTAGAAATTAAATTAAATGATGTTCTTGTTGATCAAATCTATCTGTAATTGGATTTAAATGACAGTGATGATGAAGCCTCACCTCAAGATTCGGCCCCTTATGGATCATGTAACACGCATTATTGGCGGCTTCTAGATGCATGTGTTGATACTTCTAGTTGTTGGCCGATATTTAGTTATTTGTATTACGGATAAGAATGATGGACTGATTTGTTTTCATATTTTTGTATGTAATAAGGATTAAGGACATAATCACATTTATTTGAATTCCAATTATGTTAGTGCACGTGTGAATGGAACATATTGAAGATATGATTTCATTTGAATTCTTGTTTGACTACGGAAGAGTCCAACTCAAGTTTGGTTACTAAATAATTTGATTTAATTGGGATTCAATTATAAGGATTATGCTTCAACAAAATTTCATTTGATTTTTTGTTTGGATTTGCAACTAGCCCAATAAGAATAAAAGTGTAATTACATAAATGGGCTTGCACATTAGATTGGAGGCTTGGAGCTAGTCTAAAAGGCCCATATTCCACTAAAGTCCAAAGAAACCATCCATTCAGTTAATCTGATTAAGTTTCAAATCAGATTAAATTGCATTTAATCTATTTCATCCACTCTCAAAGTACTCAAAAAACCAAAAAATAAAAACTTCTCTACTTGGAATTTTTTTTTCACTGCTACAAATAACTTAAAAAGTAGAGAAAAATCGAAGGATAAAATAAAAATAAAAACTAATTTATTTTTTCCCTATTACACCTATCAGGGGACTCATACCCTAGACTTTGTGGGAGCCAACGAAAAGCTTAACCATTAAACTAAACCCTCAAAGATAATAGATTAGTATCATCTCATC